AACAAAGACGAATTGTGGGATATTCTTCAACAACAGTGGTATACAGTTTCTTCTAAAGACTGCAAGAAACTTGTTCGATCAATGGCAGCTCGAGTCAAAGCTGTGATTAAACAACGTGGAGGTCCTACAAAGTACTAATCTGATTGTCACCAGGAGATCGAATTCTTGCTAACATAAACATCCTTTCTAAAGAATAAAAGTATGATTTATCATCTGATATAGAATAAAAAGAAAGAAAAGAAAGAAGAAGACAGTATTCATCCTTCCTCTATGAAGAATGAACCTATAGATAAAAGGACGTACAGAGTAATCCAATATGCGAAAAAAGTTCAATGCGTAGAGAATCGTTGGATGGATATATAAAAAATATATTGATGATGTTGAAAAAATGATCAATAATTCTAGAGGGGAACTTTGATATTGGTTTTTTTTCTAATGTTGATGGAGGACATGTGTGGCTATCCACTAATGAAAAGAGAACTTCTGTAGTGCAGACTCTCATCCGAGAAAAATGATAAATACTAACCTTTGGTCTGAAGTATTTGTATATGTGTACTTAGTATGCGACTTCCAACTAGTATTTTAATTCTTAATATATCAAAACTTACTGAAAATGTAATTTGCTATATACCATTGGATGCGCCGTGAGCTGCTCTACAAAACTACATATGTGCCTTTTCAATTCAAGCGAAATTACAAATTTGTCAGTCATTTACTTTTTTTGAATTTTTCAGCATTTTCCGAAAAAAAAAATATTTTCAATGTCAAAATACGTTGTTGTTTGATTCTAATACCACCATTGGATAGAGCAAACAAATTTGTCTATCATACATAAGTTTCGCAAAAGCCTGCCATTCTAAAGGTTGTTTTTGAAAGAAATTTTTGTATGACTCAAAAAAGTTTTGGTCCAATACTTTTTTGAGCAACTGTATATACTAATTTTAGTTATATAGTTAAGAAGACTCTTTCATCAATGATTTTCGAGGTTTCTCAAGAATTGCGCATCAGAATTATTTAGAACTATCAAGATGAATAAATTCTCGATGAATAGAGCAAAACTTATTATAGACTTTCAATTCGAAAAAACTTCCTTCTAAAAAATATTTGACTTGCAAAGGTTCAAAATTGTCCTGCTTTATCAGCCACAATATGTCAAATAGAGTTGAATTTGTTTTTTTTTCGAGACATTGGAGACTGTTTGTGGTGTTTACTTTTTTATCTCGTTCTATTCGAATTAAAAGATCAAGTAAATATGTTCCTCTGATTCGAGCTTTGTTTGAAAAAAATCTACCAAAAATTAATAGTGCAAAATTTTTCAAAAAAAAAGTTTCAGCTTGGTCGATCGAACGTATAATGTCGGATAAATAGAGCGATTGTGTAGTTAACCTTTTTTGTGTAAAAATCTATATGATGAAAATAGTCCTGTTTCATCGACATTTTTTTTATTCATCATTCGTTTATGAAGAAAAATCAATAGAAGTGTTGTAATAGATAAAGTTATTTTCATAAGAAAAATGTGTGAATATAATTCAATATTTTATAAGATAATCTCTATTTTTTATTAAATCAATCATTTATTGAATCCGGCAAAATAAATATTCTATATCGTCGAGACTATTTTATATTGTTGTCAAGTTGTTTCATGTTAACCATATTGAATGCATAATTCTTCTTTAATTGATCGATTGTCGATGATAATATTTACATAATAAATATTTTGAGATGGAGAATTTATTTGACAATGTCGAATTTAGAAATAATAAATAGTATGCCATGTCTATATTACGTTTGGAAACATTTATTTTCTTTTTTCTATTATTAAAATATTTATTTCGAACATTGAAATGTTATTCAAGGTAAATATTCTCATATTTATAAAATAATATTATCTTAGATATTATTTTATTAGAATAGAATGAATAAAATATCACATTAAACTAATTTTATATTTTAAAAGCAAACATATAAATCTAATATATTTATTTATTTATTCATTCATACAAACAAAATTGTTTATATTGGCTAATAAGAAAAAAACAAAAATAAGATAGGATGAATTTTTTCCTGCATAAATATATAGATATAGATAGATCTATGAAGGTTAATGATGATACTTCTCCTCTTTTTCATATGTTCCTTCAAGATACTCAATAAAAATTCTTCTTATTGCTCTGTCTTTTTAAAATTGTCGCTAAATGCTTTAAATCTCTATGATTATTAAAAAAAAAAGGTATTGAAACCATAGATAATTGTAAATATTGATTATGAACTAATTGTTGATTAAATTGTAAATATCAACTTGCTATTATTACATCATGTTATAAACCAGAATAAAATATAAAAACACACTAGTAGTTATATTGATTAAACGACGATTTAATAGTTTAACAAGGCTTAAATCATTAACACATTTTTTTATAAGGGTTGTTGAAAATGATAAACAATGTTATATGTATATCATATTGTATTATTGTAGCCATTATTTGATCATCAATAGGAGACGAGGAGCTAAATTAAATATAGATATTGGTATATTAATTCCATCCTTCATAGCATTAGATAATGCACATGTTAAATATGATTGTTGAGAAGATATTATTGGTCAACGAGCACAAAAAGTAAATCGAAGTGGTAAAACAGATACTATACGCGAAAGAGGTGAAAAACCAAAAATATAAATAGAGTTCATTAAATATAGAAAAAAGAATGCTTTTTGTTTTTTTTTAATTATCTTCTTGATATCCTTGTAAAGCAGCTTCATAGAAATAATTTGCTATATCATCTGTTTTTGGTTGATGAGTAAAATGTTGTGGTAGTTGTGTAAGTCGATAAAATCTAAATAATTGTTTTGTGTTTAGATTGATATGCAAATCGATGAATAAATAATGTAAGTACATTCTCATCATCTTTATATATATTGATCTATGTTTTAACTAATAATTTTTATGTTGATATCGACCGATAAGTAGATGAAAAGTTGGGATTATGTTCAATCGTATCAATATCATTTTCTAGATAAAGATGTGTTTAACAAATAAGTAGATTCGATTTTAAATGCATATTATTAGGAAGATATACCGTTATTACATAAGTTTTCCATGTTTGAATCATTAGAATTATTTTGACAATAGAAAACAAAATTTTAAGTAAAGTAATTATATATTATGAGAGGCCTTGAAATGCTCTATCAGCCTCTATATTCAGATCTTGGCTTGAACTTATGTGTCGAGAACAAGGGGGAAAGTGCAGGCACCCAGCACCCAGCACCTAGCACCTGCTCAGCACCTACAGCACGTATACCGCATTCCACTGTGAACATCTACGGTACCTACGGCACTTTCAGCATCTTCAACAACTATTCTATTGTCTTAAGTACTTAGGATAATGAAACAATGGTTGCAGTGCTGAAGGTGCCGTAGGTGCTCATAATGAAATGCGGTATAGGTGCCGAACAGGTGCTGTAGGTGCTGGCAGGTGCTAATAGGTGCTGTAGGTGCTGTAGGTGCTGGTAGGTGCCGGTAGGTACTGGTAGGTGCTGAGCAGGTGCTGGGTGCTAGGCGTCTGCACTTACCCCCTTGTGTGCTTTCAGAGAGAACTTCTGCTGTCCGAGGTAGAAATTCTGGTCATCGTTTTGAGAAAGACATTTTGCAACTTTTGATTTAAGCCAAATTTATCCATTTTCTTGTCTTATCAATATGCACGCTCTACTGTTTCTTTTTTCGCTTTTTGTTGGGTCTTGCTACTCTCGTAATATTATAAGCTGAACAGATTTTGGATATTGAGTAATTTTTTTAAATGTCTATTTCTTTGTCTACAAGCAATAAGATAAAGTGATATCACAGTGAAGTACCTTTGAATCACATCCGTTTTTTTTTCTTTTTTTGTAGTTCTTTTTTTTCTGACCTGGATGGAAAAAGCATGATTGCAACTAATATCAACAACTGAAAATCGCTTTCATATTTCGGGTTTTTTTGAGTCTGTATTGAATTCAGATTAGCGATGCTGCAATCTGTCAACCTTTGAGGCTCGCGAGAGTTTTTGTTCGCATTTTACAAGCTGAAAAAATGCGCCTCTTTTTTTCCTCTTTTTCAACGAGCTGTCGGTGGAATGCCAGTTCTAAAAAAATAGAAAATTTAATTGCAGTTGAGTAGATCGTTGATGTTATGTAGTTTTTTCTTGTTCATGTTGTGTATCTATGTTTTGATGAAAACTTGTCGTCTGAAATTTTCAAAAATCAGATAACAACACTTACTTTTGCGATTAATCGTAATAATGAGAGCTATGAAATGTTAGAATCAATAGCAAACACATTTAATTCCATCTTCGTTGTATTTACACGTCTGACTACTTTAATATTATATGAATCATCGTATAAAAATCGTGTTCGATTAGATTTTAATGATCCATTACTTCCTAATTTTCGTTCTTCAACTCTTCTGCAATTGATTATTAATGTACAATGTTTTGATGATTGTCTTTGTCTTCTTGATGGTCGTTTTATCCATCTTCATACACTCTTGTCGATTTAGCTAACAATCATTCTTCACATGACATTCAAAATCAAGTTAGTTGTATAAAAGCTTTATGTTATCCAATGATGAAAGAGATTTTGTTTTTTTCAGCGCGATTTGCCAAATCTAAAACGTTTTTCTATTTCCTGCAATTACGGAACATGTGATTATAGTGATAGAATTCTTCCGCTTTTACATCGAATGTTTAATCTAGAAGAACTCATTCTATGTCTTACAGTCTGTCAAGATAAAACATTTATTGATGGAAACAATTTGAAGAAAGATATTATTAATCATATGCCACGATTAAATCGATTTTCATTTTCTATTGACTTGTTTATGTTTCTCAACAATCAAATAAATCTCCCATCAACAGAAGATATTCAATGTACATTCATTGACTTTTCAAATATTAAAGTTATTTCCTGTGTTGATTATTTTCCAAAAGCAAAATAAGGCCGATGTCTTAGTTATTCTTATCCATCTCTAATGCAATATTATGGCATTATTACAAATAATTTTCCTGGTGGATTATTCATTAATGTTCGTATAGTGTCATTATTTGATGAACATCCATTTGAACATGAATTTTTTAATGAAATTCAAAAGTCATTTCCATTTATGGAAAGATTATCTGTTAAAAATGATAAACCACAAAATTTCAAACAATTTTATGAATCTATTAATTTTAATCGAAATTTCTCTGTTATTGAATATCCTTTTCTTAATGAATTGATAATTGTTAGTGTTCATGATGATTATATAGAACAATTTCTACTTCATTCTAAAGCGTGTTTCCAAGATATTATTCTTTCTATCAATTATGAATCTTTACAACGAATAACACATAATTTCACAAGAGATGATACACGAATTAATTGTGCTAAAATAAATAAATTAGTTTTATATGGTGATAAAAAACATTCGACTTGTCTACAAGAATATTTTCCTTGTGCAAAAATTTGTTATTGACGAATATTTTGAAAAATATAGATGAAAGAGATAATTGTCTTGTTTATTGTTGTAAAAAACTAATGTATGATGAGTTGTATTCTTTGAAATAAATTGACTTTATTTAAATGAATATATATATGAATAGTATTATACATAAATACCCTCAAAAGTGATTTCAGCGATAACTAGATTATCGACTAATATCATGAATGAATGAGTAAACCTAGGAATAAAACTCTATCTAACTTAAATTGAATTCAAATATCTTCAAGTTTTCAAAATTACTGTCTATGGAAAAAGTCGTTTGAATATATTTTTGTTAACAAATGTATTCATTGAAAAGGAATTGAAATCGTTTTATGTACTACACAATAAAACTTATTTATTCTGCATATCCAAAGATAAAAGATGGACAGGAATAGACAAACGAAAGAAATAGACACACGAAAGAATTTAGTTTGTCATAAGAAGCAGGGCTGGTCCGACCGGGAGTTTTCGGGGTTGGAACAACCCCCAATCTTTAAAAGTTTTCATTATTTCCCAGCAAAATCCAAACATTTTCTTGTGTTCTTTTAGCAAAAACGATGTTGCACCCCTCAAAAAATCAGGCACAACCCCCCAATGTTGGTTGACTCGGGCCAGCCCTGATAAGAAGTAACGACTAAATCATTTCAGTCTATCGATATCTATCGACACATGCCTTGTGGTGACTTGAACAGAAAGAAAATGACGTCAGAATGAAAAAGTGAATAATCTATAACATATATCTCTTTGATGGAAGTAAGAAGAATATCTTTGAATCAAATGCGATAATAAAATTTTCACAAATTTTAGAATACTCAAATTAATTTGAATCAAAAATTGGGATTTGATTTAGTTAAAGATGTTCGATTAGAAAATGGAAAACTTAAGTAACATATTATTATTCTAGAAAAGCATTGGAATTTTGTTCTCATAGATTTAATTACACACATAAATATGCTTATCAATGCATTCACGGCTGCACAAGCTGGTAATATAAATCCATCACAAGTACAACCACATATGCAACATACAGTATGTTCTTTTTTATTTTCAAAAACAGTTTAAAATGTTTTATTCATTCAGACTACGAATCTTTATCATCATACAATGGATCCATCAAATTCTATGCTACCATATTCTGGTCCACAAATTTCTCATGGTTTATCTTTTCCACATCATTCAATCAGTTTGGATGAAAAAATGATTTCACATTCAGGTATTTGATTAACATCATTCTATCTATTAACATTTCCACCACGATATATTCTACCATTAGGTATAAAAACAACAAGTGATGATACAATTCCTGGTATGACAAGTGTACCATTAGCACCACTTGGTGATACTATTCCATCAATGCCATCAGCTTCTCATGAACAAGGTTTAGCAGGTTCAGGTAATTCGTACAGACACTTATTTCCAAATTATCCGCCATTACAATCAACAAGTGATGATCGGAACAAAGTGCAAATGAAATGTATTAAAGGTGAATATGAAAGAACGTATCGACAACCAACAACATCATATTCTCCAAAATCATCGTCATCATCATCAACCACAACATCTAAAATGGCTTCATCATCTACAGGTGATGGTGGTGTAGGATCACATAATTTATTTTCTTCTGGAATGAGCTCGTCCACAACAAAACATACATATAAATCTAGTCAATCTTCAGCAAAATGAATGAATCGTGTTCAACAATATCCGTATCGAGTACCATCACCAATCAATGTTCAAACAAATGCTCCTAATTCTGAAATTGATTCATCATTTTCTCAAATCAATTTACCTTTCGATCAACGTCCAAATCAATGACAAACCAATGACGATGCTTTTCAAACATTACTTCAATCGATGCATGATGTTGCTAATTCTCAATCAGGACAAATTCCATTCTATAGTTTAGCATACGTGTTGATTTTAAATGCCTTAACAGGTCAACCATCAAATGATAATAATGATGATGGGAAATCACCACTTAATTGAAATTTTTCTTTTTTTTTTATCTTGCACATTAGTAATCATTTTTTTTTTATTGTCTTCTTATTCTATTTCAATAAAAAAACAGCATTATCTATATTCTCACTCAAACTCTTACTTTCAACTATACTCCAAAGGTAGAATGAAGATATGCTATATGATATAAAATATCATTGTCTATGTTCATCCCTTTGATCTGACGACCAGTAGTTTGTAATACAAGAACGATATAATTTCAGATATAGAAATGAAAATCGGTATATGATGAAAACTCATTTATCACAAAAGTTCTTCACGACTGTTAGAAAAATAGTTGACAACAAAACTATTAAATGTAATAAAATGACGTCTCTCATCTTAAAACAAAGCTGTAATGCTTAACTTAAATTGCTACTAAAGTATGCCTTAAAAAAGCAATATATTTGTCTACAATAAATCATTAATGTAACTCGTTGAGTAAAAAACGGTAACAAATTATCTTCAATAAAATGAATTTTAAGATTTCATATTTTGCATATTATATACGAATATTCAATGATATAGTCTACTTCAATTAGATCACTCATCTTAAAACTGTTCTAAATAATTGATAAGATTAAAAGAGCGAAACAGGAAGTTTCTGTAATTTATAACCAGTCTTATATAACATATAAATTATTCAAGATTATCTCCTAACTACATACAATTTAAGAAGCTCGTTCAAACATATGAAGTGAAGAGAGCGAGTCATCTATCAATAGGATTGCATAGTTTCCTACTAAATTTACATTAATATTTTTAAAACGTCCAATATTTTAAACAATACTTTTGTTCAAAGCTCGAAAATTCTATCAGATTGAAAAAACAAGTTTTGACTATCGGCAACAGTTAGACAAATGTAACCTTGAAGATATGAAAAAGGCTACAATAATCTGAATTAATCTTATTTCTATCAAGCTATATTTTTGGCACTTATATCTCTCAGTTATCATAAGCGAAAGTTAGGCGGCACTCTGTCGGTTCATGTGTTAAACAACTGTGAATACAGCTGATAGTAGATGATGAATCATAGAGATAATTAAGCGATCAATCAATATCGTTGTTTAGAAAAATGTCGATACGATTTGATAGAGTTCTCGTAGTGATGAATTTTATTATGGCTACTTCTCAATTTTTTCTGACAATGATGAGCTGATTAATGGAACGTAACATTTTCAATTTACAACGACCGAGAGAAACGTCTACAATCGGTAGAGCGCAAAGAATTTGACGAAAAGAACACTCAACATTGAACCGAGAATCGATTATTCGTTTTTTATGAAATATGGTTTTTTCCGAAACTCGGATACCATCTAGTTTATCTTAAATAATCAAGTTTTCTTTTGTTTTTTTAGGTATTAATAACAGATATTCTAACTAACCACTTGGAATATCTTCAACTGTCAGACGTTGACTAACCTCAAATTTAATTTATAAGGAGAATTCTGTAAAACAAGACAAAGTCTAAACAGCATTGACCTTATGTAGGCTAGCCACAGCTATGATCGTTTTATTGAGATTTTCTGGTCGATAGGTCTGATGTTCATGGAATTTTAAATTGTAAAATTTTCACTCAATATTTCTTCCATAAGCGATGCCAAGGAACATCAAAATATACTAAAAATGTCAGGTCCAACGAATGCATTTTACATGCAATATTGAATATTCAAACAAAGACAATGTCTTACAGGTCAAGCAATAGAAACAACTTATCATAAACATTCAATATCTCAACAAAAACTAACTACATTTGTTTGGGCTAAAATTCAAGAATATCTAAGTTATTCTTTGAAACTTGTTCATAGACAAAATATCAAGTGAAAATTTTATAATTTAAGTTTTGATGAATATCAAACAAGAAGACCGAAAACTTCAATAAAATCGTCATCTCTTTAGTTGAGTATATGAGCTCGAATTCATTTAGACTTCAACTAGCCTTATCAAATCTTACCAAAGAATCATATATCAACTTGATCAAAGTTCGGGAACTAATAAATGTTCTTTCGTAAGACTTTGGAAGATTTCAATTCAATCTTTGGCAATAATAAATAAGAAAATGATTTACACGTAGTAATGTATGAAGCTCGTCGGACTTGAAAATTTCAGATTCGGACTCTGATAATGGGACTATTTTTTGTTTGAATATGATTCACTTTTCATCGATGATCATTTAAAAAACGTCAGGAAATTTTGAGTGCACTCTATGGACATCTACAACTAATAGAGTTGGTCGACATTTTTGACTAATGAAACTGTACTATTTTTGTTTCTACAAGATCGTCTGCAATTTCTTTTTTTTTTTTTTTTGTTTTATATTTGTCAATTCACAAAGTCTTTCTCTACGAAATTTATCATTATGTCGTCATCAACTATCTTTTTACATGATTTTCTTGTTCCTAATGATGGTTCTCAAGGATCATTTGACGTAAATTTATTTTTGTATATATATCACTTGTTTTTCATCATTTTTTTTTCTAGCAGTTAACAAATGTTCCCCCTCAACGAATAAACTATCGACGTGAACGAAGTCCGTCTCTTGTACGATATGTTTAGATCGATTTTATTTATAATAATATTTCTTATATTTATAGGAAGATAATGAATCAATATTTAAATCAGTTCGTACAGATTATCGACCGGTATCTTAAATATTTAAAACCTACAAATCGTTTTCTTTTTTTTTTATATAAGACTTTTGTTTTTATATCTAGGACTCAATAACCGATCCTCCACTTCCTCGTCGGCGTGTTGCTAAAAAAACTACAGTCAGTAAATGTTTACCATCAAATAATAATAATCCAATAATTCATCAATCTACACGCCAAACAATAGCTAACGATAGTTATGATGATATGTCTCATTATACTTCACCAATAGTACGACAATCATCACAATCAATGACATCGATTAATAATAATGAAGTAGACAAGAAAAAAATAAAAAAGATTTAATCGAAATCAAAAACTTCGATTGTTTTCTGAATAGGAAATTGGTCTTAGTCGAATACCTGATCAACCATTATTACCAACATTTAGTGATAAAATTCAACATGAACTTCTCATGGGTATGTTAATATAAAAGATCAATTCATATTAAATTATATATTTATAATTATTTAGGTAATCCTGAACCAATAATGAATGAATTAATTCGTGAAGCAGCTGATTTCTATATGAATGTCTATCCACAATTAACTCATGGTGTTGAATATAAAAAAATTGGTATTGCACTTATTAATGAATATCCTTGTTTAGCATGTGAAGATACAATTAATCCTCATGTATATGTTACGATTTTTGTTTTTGTTCGAAATATATTAATTTATATTTAATTTGACATTTATTTTTTTTCTTTTCAATTAGGGTTTAATTACATCTCGATTATCAGCTCGTATACGTAATGTTCGTCGCAAAATGCGTACAAGAGAACAAAAATGTCAAATGCGTGGAACAATTTATTAAAAATCTTCAATTAACGAATTGTTCTTGTACAGTAAATATCTTATTATATTATTTATAGTAATAAACAGGAAAATATAATTCATATTAGACTAATTTAATATTCTATTTCAATGTAAAACAAGATGACTTGTTCATACGAAGATGTTTTTTTTTAGTTGAAAATTTATCGTTAAGGAAGACATATTCGAGATATATTGTTGGAAAATGTGTGTATGTGTGACATTGCATAATGTTAGAGAAAATAAAAATTCTTTTCCACTATCATTTTAATGATTTGAGAGAGGTTAGTTTCAATGAACACTGGTAATGTTATTACATATGTTTCCTACATAGCAATTTACTTGTATATTTGGTTCGATTTTGCTGGTATTCTTATCTGAGGCAATACCTCGCGTTTAAGATAAGGAGTTATGACTATTACACTCGATTTTATACCCTAGATACGGTACTTATAAAAAAACCGAACAAAGAAATTTTGGTCTAAAACTTTGTCGATAGATAGCTCTTGAGGTCGTTAGAATCTCCTAAAATTTTCGATAAGAGATCACTCTTTTTAGCTGAAATTTTTATATAAAAATTCATTGGTTCAATTGTTTTAAAAATACCGTGTCAAAGATAAAAAAATCTCGTGTAGCGACCATAGCTACAAAAGGTTGGTCTAGTCTCAATAGGCTCTACGTATTGACTGGGTCTTATGTCAAACGCAAGGTATCACATCGAAATATTTCCTGGTAAGAAGAAATGATCAATGTGATAGATCATCAACAAAGACGTTTAATATGTATAGCGGTTCAATAACTATCACAGAATTGAACATATTTTGATTTTATTCTGTATATCTATTGTTGATACATTTAATTGAATTATAATGGTTTTTTTTCCTGCCAGCTGTGTCATAACAACATACTATGATGATTTATGTTCTGATCGTCTTAAGAATAATTGTGTGTATTCGAACTTATCTACTGCTCATTGATATATGGATTAATTTAGTTGTAAACCAGGCAAGAATAGTGAAATATCAAACTCAACATCATACTAATTAGTTGGTTATATGCAACCGTGACATTATACGAAGAGGCCACATTAAATTTTCTTAACTAATCGAGCATTTGTGCTGATATTCTTTATATATCATGCGACATTTTTGGTTTTGTCTATCGACTTTCTCATGACATATGCGATAATATTACTAGGATTTTTCTATTTTTAGAAACTTTCATGACAGAAATTTTTATAAAATAAGAATTCGAAAAATGTTTTACATCATAATATTATATAAAAAATAGTTCTATGCTTCAATTCAACAATCCAGCAACATCATATGACAAAAAACTTACATTATAGAAGAAATTTATTTAATAACAATCGATACACGTTATCCTTTAATAGTCTATTTGACCATGTTTTTTGAGCATAGTCTTCCATATAGACATAAACTTATTAAAATTTTTTTTAAATAAAATTTACTATTTTAAACTCATTATGGACTAAAAAAAATAACGATGATATAAATCGTTCTTCTGTTAGAATGCTTGACATTTAAATAAATTTAATTTACAGTATGAGAAAACTATTTACTTTAATTCTATATTTTTGTACATATAATTCGCAAAACTTTTCTAAGAAAAAGTTTACTTTAAAAATTAACTTAGATACTGATATTTAATATTTGATTAATGTTTATTTATTATTTCTTACATATGTATTCAATGTAACTCTCAAAAAATAAATCAAAATCTTTCATTATTTATGCATCGATATGCATTTTACATGTTGAATGAGGCCTTCGTCTATAATTTCTGTAAAAACACAAAAAAAAAATTTAATAACTTTTGTAATTTCAATTATTCATATTATAGCAAAAGTAATGATGTCAATTTATAGATAGTTCAAAGAAAATTTCTTCGGCTGTATACAGATGACAGATATGTAGGGTCAAGTTTGATTTCTACCCATGATCCAGGCTTATGCAACAGAGAATTGTCATTATAATCGAGTTATCGTATAGATTATATCAATCAAAACATGAAGGAAGAACGATGACAATGACAAAGTACTATTCATCAACTAAATAAATCAAAAGACGAGTACATAAGAATCTTTTTCTAGATATTATACCAATTGACCCTAGAATAGTTGTTTCTATATCAAGAATGATACTAAAGCAGATGTGCCGGAACTAAAATAACTTAGTTCCATCCACTTTTGACACTGGTAGTTCAAACAGTACTCTCTATTTCTTCCATATTTTATTATTCTTTTTCTATGACTCAAACCAGTTTGCACTTATAATTTGTATATTGTAATACTCGTGGTTCGTTTTCAATCTTTTGCCAATATTCACGAAATCATTTTGGCCGAATTTAAACTGTTGTGTAAGATGAAGCCTGAATTGCCAAGAATAGAACAGTTCTCCTTGAATAACATTTGGATGAATAGATAGTGTAGCGTGCACTTTAATATATAAAAGCACAAACTTTCCTTTTTCATTTAAATATAAAATGCCATTTCTAGTATAAAAAGATGCAAAGAAAAATTCTTCTCAAATGTCCAATAAAATACAATAGTGCTGGTATCATAACTTCTGGTATACCTTACATATGAATAGTAATTGATATCTAAAAGAAAAATTTACATATTATATATATCAGAAATTTGACAAAATTGTAGAATTCATTATTTGTACAATAGAATAAAGATATCTATTACCCCCCAAAAAAATGAATCATTGTGAGTTTTCATGAATGCTTACCTGCAATTAAAACTAAAGACTAACTCAAATAGTGCTTATTAATATATTTATCGTGAAACTTGTTGATAGAAAAGTTAATACATGTTGTCATATAAGATCATAAATACAACATTATTCTAATCATTAGCGATACAATACAAATCAAAAATGAAGAATAAACAAGAGTTCGTTTACTGACACAATTCATTATATGAAAGTGACCTATTAATTAGCTGGGTTAAGCCTATACTACACTGCAGTTTATTCTTTCCATTAAGGTTTATAATAGCTTTATTTAATGTCAGGCGTATTCAAATACATCTGTTACACATCTACAAACAATATACTGGATTCAAAATAAGAACATATTTAAATTTAGAATGTTTTTATTATATAAAATCTCTAAATGTAATAAGATTTAATGTCTTAGTAAACAGAATATTTAAATAAAATGCGAAAATACTTTTCAATAACGCATTAATAAATTGCTTGACAATGTTTCACGTCTGTACGCAAAAAGAAAAACAAATGTCTATTTTGAATTAAGTTTTTATAAAAAAAAGAAAATTCTAGCATCAAATGAATATGTGCTTTGAAATGGTTCATTATTCAAAATGTATCAAAGTTATTTCATTGTCACGCAAACATAAAACAGAATGAGGTCAAATTTTGACATACTGGACTGAAATAAAATCAAACTATTTGTCATCACTATTTTCGTTATATCATTATAAATTATATTGACTTTAAATAAACATTTACATATCATATTTCAAATAAATTTTCTCTACAACTTTTTATGACAACCAAATTATTTAACCATTGGTTGTACATTATTTATTCAGTTTTAATGATGATTCAGTTTTTTCAATGTCAATATACAATCAAAAGATGTAGAGACAAATGTAACTATCGTATATGAGAAAAGTTTTGCATCATCACTCAACACGTGTGTTATCGTGTTATTTCTCATAAGGTAAAGTATATTTTGTCATTGACACCTGAAATCATTTTTAATTCTACCAATGTTAGATAAAATGTACTGTTAGAGGTAGTGTAAAAAAAAAATCAAAACATTCATCCCTCCATCAATGTTTTCTATGAGATTAATATTGATGGCTTAAAGTATCTTCATCATGTTTAGTTGATATCAGGTTCTCGTTGTATTATTTTGTTGAACTTAATGCTTTATTATCTTTTCTTTCAACAATTCAAGGAAATTTAATCTAGCGACATAAGACGTAACGATTTGTGTATCGAGCTTACTGTTTTTAGAGAGATGTGTTTGAGAATAACACAACAGAAAACATTGCATGACAAAGCATTCAAATCCATTGACACAGACGTTATTGTTCACTTGTATTGGAAATGAAGATGAGCAATAATCCTTATGTTTTGAAATATTCAATCGCATATCTTTTGAAAAAAAATACAACGATCAACGTTTGATCATGTTCTTAAACAGCGTTACATGCAAAACAACAAGTATCGCAAAAACATTTGTCATATTCATTATAGAAATCGTGATGATGATGATGTTGTTTTTTATTTATGTTCATAAATATAAGATTTATTTCAAGAGACAATTGAAAAAGAAAATCAGTAATGAGTATTCGTATACAACAACAACAAGAAATAAAAACTGGCACGAAAAAAAGTATATGTATGCAATCAACAAATGAAGACATGTGTTGTAGAAAACGAAAAGCAATTAAATAAAAATAAGCATAAACACTGGGATTAGTAAATATCCACTCCATAAAAGAAAACTAAAGCCCATAGTTAAAAGGAAAAATAAAAGGGAAAGTTTATTGCCAAAGAAGATCCGATGATGCTGGCATGTATTCTGTAACAGGACGAGTTGGCATACCATATATTAATTTTGATGCTGATGGATTATTTAATGAATTAGCAAAGGGTACAAACTGAGAAAATTGATTATTTAACTAAAAATAAAAATACAAAATAAAATGAAAAATTATTTAAGAAATTTAATATACTTCATGAGGTGTAAAAGTTGTTGATGGACTTTGAAGAGTAGGTGTACTCATATTATTAGGATTATTATGATGCATTGGATTCATTCCAGGTCTTGGTGAATATAGTTGACCTTGCTATAAATAAAATTAAATTAAGAAAAAAAAAATTTATTATGGAGTTTTTGTTCTGATAATAACGTACCGATGATTGAAATCCAGGATGAGCTCCAAAAGTAGATGATTGTTGATAAAGATTACTTCCAAATGATGCTGATTTATGATGAGCATGAAGATGATGGTGTTGAACTTGTGGATGAGTCAAATGAGGTGAATTGACTAAATAAAGATAGAACAAGGACCTAATTAATAATAAAAAAAAACATATGTGACATATTCCTGCTTTTGAAAATTATCCATACAGCTTCCTCTTGTCTCAAATGGTGATGAAAGAATTTTTCTAGATGTTAAATTACGTTTTTAACCGAGGAGATGTTTATTTGATGAGCACTAGTGAGTAATAGAAAAGTCTAAAATAGTCTGGTTTTTTGGGACCTTCATTCTTGAAATATTAATAAAATTCTCAATAAGACTAGGTAATTGGGCAAATTGTAACTTTTTTAAATATCTCCTATCTTGAAATTTTGAATATTTTAGATTCTCTCATGTATAAAAGCAAATTTTGTTCATATATTTACATCTCCAGAAAGGAAACACTAGTTGCAGAGTGAATTAATCTCATCAAAAACTTTGTTCATGCAAAATTCGAAGTCAACACTCTCACCAAAAATAAAGAGACCCACAGAGTTTTGTTGAAAAATCGAGAAAATTTTTGATATCTAGAAAATGAATACCTAGGAAACCAAACAATGCTAGATGTTTCTATTACTCAATAGTACATATATCAAATGAATATCATTTCAGTTGAAAACCGATTTGATAACTGGAAAAATTCTCTTGTGAATTATGCCTCGGAAATTATGAGTTCATTTTCAATTAAACACAGAAAGATAAGACTATCTTCGCATAATTGATCATTATTTCATAATAAAATAAGCAAAATTTATTTTTTATTTTGTGATTTTCTATCATTTCACTATTCTACAGTGATAATATATATTTTTGATTATAAACTTTTGTCTATATATATATATATATATATATATATATATATATATAGATAAAATATTTCTTTTTCAAAATTTGATTATATACCATTCGATAGTTGCATTGTTGGTGGACGAATATTCATTCCTGTAGTATTTACTGTTGATGTTTGAGGTGTATTAAATAATGCCATAATTTTCTCATTACTCATAACATTACTTGTATTAGTTGAGCTAGTATTATCATTGGGAGATAAGAAAATATTTTGTAAATCTTTTTCTAAATTATTTTTTGTTACATCATTTTCGTTTACATTCGTCGATGGTGTTGTAAATACATCATGTAAAGAATCCATAATGTCAATTGAAGGAGCTTTGGGAGGATTAGTCGTATTATTTGAAGATGCAGATGGTAAAGGTAATGATGGTTCATCTAAAAATATATACATATCAATATGAATTTAACTTGAAATATAATATTATAAATATAATTACCTAAACCTAATAAATCCGGAGGATTTTCTATAACAACAGCAGGTTGTATAGGAGTTGAAACAGATGTTGTCGAAGATGATGGAGTTGTTGTCGTCATTGTCGGTAATTGTATAGTTGGTGTTGAACGACCATTACCTGTTTGTCGGACAGGATTTGTAGATGTTATTGGTGCAGCGATTGGTTTTAATTTTGGAATGTTATTATTATTATTATTATTATTATTAACATTTTTCTCTACCTAAAATAATATTTAAAAAAAATGAATTCATATCAAAAAAAAAACTTTACTTGTTCTACTTCTGCTGTTGTTTCAATTCGTCGTTGATTTGTTTCTGATTCAATAAGCTAAAAAACCAAATATAAAAATAAAATTCATTCTAAATCATTTCTATTTTCTTTTCTTTTCTTTAATCATTAAGCTAAAGCACAAATCAAGAACAAGACAACACTAACATCACTAGGCACCGTTATTTCAGGTGGAATCCATTCTTTAGCAAGCCATCTACGCTGTTCATATTTTGCACGAATAAATGCTTCCAATGCACTAGTCAAATTCATTCATAAGCATAAAAATAAAAAGTATAATTTTTTAACATACGAATCAGCTTGTGGACGTCGAAATCCAGCCGGTAAATTAGCTTCATATACAGCACGCGCACGATTATTACCCATGACTTGCATTGACTAATTAAAATATACAATATAACACAAAAAGAAACAAGACAATATGTTTTTTTTTTTCATACAGCTATTTGTTCTGCTGTCCATGAATCTAGATTAACTGATTTAACTTTTGATATGTGTACACCTAAATTTCGATGAAAACCGGCGCAACGAATACATATAAAAATACCAATATTCCAACTAGCCCATCGAGGACCTTAAAAAAGGATGATAATAATAATCAATATAAGAAAAATAAAATTATTTTACTTTTTGCATCACAATCAACACAAAAACGATTATCATCTTCTTTAAGCATTTGTGAAAGTATGATTTGATATTTTTCTTGCATTTTAGATTTTTCACGTTCAGATCGTACAGACATGATTTTAGAAAAGTAATTTATATTATTATAAATACTCTGAAAAATGATAAAAAAAAAAAACAAAACAAAACAAAACAAAACAAAAATCAACAAAAAAGTATAAATTCTAAAAAAACATACCTCACAAAAGCAGAATCAGAGAATTGAATGACTATACATATAAATCTATCCAATGACGTCAAAATAATATTCTATTGGCTTAATACAATGTACCAACCAGAAAAATACAATAAAGAGTGTGCACTTCACTTTTGTTGAAACTATAGATTTTCTTCGAGAGCTAATGTAGTTCCTATGAATTATCTAACATCATTGAGACGGTATTTTCTCGTCTCATCGAGAGAGTAGTTTTCTCTTTTTATTGACATCAGAGATGGACAACATCACTGTGTTCCGTTTCAATTCCAAGAAGTTGTAGTTGCCCATTTCTACTCGACACAATTTTTTTCTGAGCAATTTTCCAATTTTATCGAAAAAATTTTATCTTGAGGGGAAAAAAATTAGCTAAACCGTAAAGATGCTTATCTGATATTATTAAAGCGAACGTTATCATCAGTAGAAAGGTCAGAAAAAAGGTTTCGATTAAAGGGTATGAGAATGGATGTAAATGTTGCGCTTCTTTACTCCAACATACATGAGAATCGGAGATTTGATACCATCAACTTAATGTAAATCTTGCTACCTTCAATCCACACTTATATGTTTCCTAAACTGAAAGGATAGGGTCTTGAAATAAAACTTCACGTGGATCTGCCTTTCTGTAACGCAGTTACTATGTGGTAACTATGGCAAAAAAAGAATGATTTAGTAATTATTGTACAACTGAGCACCTAGTAATTATATTTTCAAACGATATCAAGAAAGATTATAAAGACATCACACATCTAGTCATTGCTGAAAATCGTGTATAGATGAGCATATCATTGTTTCATAAATTATAATTTGTTGAGTAAAGTTGATCATAAAATTATGATAAACGAAAATCTTCTTTATAAACTATGTGATAAAACTAATAAAATACGATTTCGTTGTAACCACAAATAGTGTTAATATGAACCAATTAGAAAAACGTGTTCTTCATTTTGTTATTATTATTATTGGAAAGATGAATAATAATGCAAATAGAAAAAAAAATCATTGCAACAAGGCAGTTTCTTTAACAATCTAGAACAATAACTATCATGAATGGACTTTATCAGAAGTATGTATATGTCGAAAACTAGTCAGTTATAATTAAGATAACTGGTTTTTATATTATATGGCTTAAGATTGAGATTAACATCTATGAAGAGATAGATTTTATTTAATTCATGTTTACATCTAAAAGCAACTGCATGAACATCCATAAACCATCAGTCTAGAGATAAGTGAATGGACTGTCGATGAACGTTACTTGTAGTGATTCAGAGATGGGCAAGCCAGGAGTTTTTAAGGTTCAAGTCAAGTCATTAATCGCCAAAAAAATTATTCAATCAAGTCACAATGCTTTCGAAGTCAAGTCAATTCAAATAATGACTATATATTCTCATCGAGTCACCGCTTATCTGAAGTATATGAAAGAATTTCTTTTTCTTTGCTTCTGCTCTCATAGGTATTTTTAGTGTAGACAAGAATTAGACGCATAAATTGCAAAAATATGTCCATTTTTTACTTAACTTGTGACTTGACTTTGAAGACCAAGTCACAAGTGAAGTTAAGTCATCCAAAGATTTCTCAAGTCAAATCAAAAAAATGACTTGACTTGCGCATATCTGTAGTGATTGACGAACTATAGAAAAATTGTGCATTCAACATGAACACAACAGAACAACTTGACAACAATATGAACAAACCGCCACGAATAAAAAAAAATTATTTTTTTCGAAATCATCGAATCCTTATTTTAATACAATGATATGAAAAATGTCCTTTATCATTAGATGAATATTTTAATAAGATTAATAAAATATTATAATAATATTTTGTTGTTATTATCTTATAAATTATTGAGTTATGTTCTTATTTCTATTATTACAATAATTTTCTCGAATACAAAATTATATTTTTATTTTTATTTGCAAAATACTGCTGAATAAAAAGTGTCGATCAAGGATAAATCATTCGTTGATGACAAAAGTTTCGCCCGTATTGAAATGAATCTTTTACATTATTTTAATGTATGAGAATAGAACGCAACACATATATATACAGAGGAGTTCGAGACATTTGCGTAGCACATAGTAGTTTTATAAGTATTTGCTTCTTCTTTGAGCAAAGTGAAAATATGTGAATACATCCATTTTTGAATGGCTTAGTGAGAGATAAGATGGATTGTATAATGTGAGATCGAAATTTCCAGCTAATGGATTTTTAGCGAATGAATTACAATTCGAAATCTCGCGCTCAGTGTTCATAGTATTACCTGTTGATGGAGCATAAACAAAGCTTTTTCTTCTGAATGTTCAAAAGTTATAAGCTCGAACTCAATTCATACGATCCATCTCATTTCTTAACAACCCATCGAAAATCGAATGTATTCACATATTTTTTACTTTGCTCAAAGAAGAAGTAGGTATCTATAAAAACTAGTATGTGCTGCATAAACGTCTCGAACTTCTTTGTGCATATCGTGTTGCATTCTATTCTCATATATTGAAACAATATAAAAAGATTCATTTCAATACGGACAAAACTTTTGTCGTCGACTAAATGGTCACAATGTTTGTGATCAAATGATTTTGTAAAAATAGTTTTCATGTCTATTGAAACTACAGGAAGAATTATACTAGTAGCATAATCAAAAAAAAAAATTCTAGAAGAGCTCGGCCTCCTAACGATGTCTATAGAGACTACTAAAACCTTCTGTTAACATGTCTAGAGGGCACTCAAATTTCATTTTGTAAACGGAACTCAATCGTTGATTTAACAAGGAAAAAGAAAACGATTATTGTTTCTAAGACAACGAATATATCATGATCATATCCTTTGCATCATTATTACATGTCAATCATATTCGAAATTTGTTATCAATATTCTTGTCAAATTCACGATTTTTCAATCTGAATCTATCTTATATAAAGAATTAAAACGAAAAACAAAAAACAAAATCATTTTTCTTGCTTTAGATGCATGATACTTGACGGATAGAAAAGGAAAGAATCAAAAACTCAAAGAATATTTCTCTAAGGCATTAACTTGGTTAATAAAGATCAAAACAGGTGTCTATTGTTTGTAGATCATTTCTCACTAGAAGGCTGACATTCTCATTTGTCACTAGTTTACATTCATATATTTCCTTATATGTATCTTTCATCTATCTTTATATTGGTTCTTAAAACTCAAAATCCATAGAAAAGTTCATGTATACTATTAACATTTTTTCTTTCTTGTAACAAATAACGAGATAGTATTGATCTTCTATAAGTACGTGCCTTTTCTTTTTCTATTTTTTGTTCGTATTTTTCTCTTCCGATCAATAATTGAGTAGTTGTTTGAGATGAAAAAAAAAGCTACAGTCATTCTTATTATTTTTGATGACTTATTTTATGTCTATTTCCGTTTTGTTTTTCCATTTAGATTGTCAACGAAAAATACTTTTTCTTTTGATGTATTATTTTTCAAAACCGACTAGGTGAGGAAAAAAAACACTTATCAATAATATTTACTTTTTTTTCTTTTATTATTTCTTACCGATCAAATAATGAATTAATAATTTAAGTATTCTTACGTAGATGAACAGTTGTCAGATCATTTTTTTCAAATGTATAATTATTACTTTTTTTTTTCTTTTTGTTTTGATTATAATTGATAAATGAGATACTGACTCTATAGAAATATCTTGATACAAAGAATCTATGTTGAAAAACAAGTTATATCATTGATATTTTACCATATTGTCAATAATCTGTCTCGGATTCTACATCGAACTCTGTGATAAAATGTTTGAAATTATTTTTCTAGGAAATCAACGCAAACGAAGCGTGAATTGTCGTTTTTTTTTTCTCTCGTCAAGACATAAATCATTGTTTGGATATCAATAAGGCTAATTGATAACTGTCGCTTCGCAGCAGTGCAAACTCATCACTAGTACCATCGATACTGACAACGGCATTAGAATATATATACGACACAACAGTTGTACAAATGCTGATCTTAGATTTTTTTTTTCTCTTTGGGCATCTGTTATAGTTGTCTAGTTTGATAGCATAGCCAGTTAGAACATATATATATGTATATATATATGCATATCCGAATATATTGGAACACTTGTATTAGAAATAAGAACTTTTAGTTTCGTCTTCTTTTTCTATGTATTGATAAAACAATCAAAAGCAATATTTTTCATAGAAAACAATCATAAGTCGGGTTTATTTTGTTAGACAACATCGTTGTGTTTTTCTTTTCCTCACGTTTTCTTCTTCACATATAAAATATTTTTAACGTATATTTGATTATTTAATCAATATATTCTTCTATAATGTCTCTTCTTTATTATCGTGTTTTCAATGATGTAATTGATGTATTTCGTCGACGTAAAGCAGTGAGGTAAGCAAATATATATTTAATGATTCCTATAAACGACATAAGACAAGTAGATAATGTAATGTATTAATCATCATTGAATATCACTTTTCTGAAAGACTTAAGACTTTAAGAATGAAAAACTTAATTGATGTATGTCAGTTTTCTGTAATCTGATCGCATAAGAATGTAATATGTATTACTTTTGTATCTAGTATGATTTTTTTGTTTGATTTTAAAAAATAAATATTAATTTTTCTCTGCATTTGTTTTTTATATGAATAGGAAAGAATTAGATGGGTTTTAGAATATATATCTTTTTGATTCAATAGTTACATCTGTTTTTTTCCCTTTCTAATTGATAATTGTTTAAACAGAATATAAATTGTACATATTTATTTTTATATAAATATAGCAGTAATGTAAAAGTAACTTTCTAATAGCTTTAGATAGAGTTCAGGTTTTTTTTTTTATTCGAAGTCAAGACTGAAACTGATTCATATTAATTGTATTTATTTTCTAAATAAACTTTCATTATATGTATTTTAAATAAACATATAAAATATCTATGTGAGCTAAAAAGTTGTTAACATAAATTGTGTCATATGAATTATTTTTTTTTTCTCTTAACAATTTTTAAATAATTCATATTATTTGAAAATTATCTTCATAGAATAATTAAAATCATTTATAACATTTATTTTATGTACTCATAGAATAAGATCGATATTATTTAGCGTTTATAATTCGATTTCCTTCATATATAGCTGCATCCTATCGATCTATATATATATTCAATCATTATGTCATGTCTCCTGAGAAATATCTCGTAGGCGTTCTCTTTCTCATCTTACTATTCTACCTTAAGAGAATGTTAGATCCTATTAATTGATTCACATCCATAAATATATGCAAATGAATAAACCACCGATTTCATAGATATATGTCATTTGATCAAGAGTGATGACATCTCAAAGAAACGGTCCATCAAATGCACTAAAAATAAAACAAAACATAGAGAAAAGTATAGATCTATACACATATATATATATATAAATCTAAGGATCTGTCTATTTCTATAATTTTCGAAAAGATATAAGTAGACATTAATTGTTAAATATATAATCAAATTAAATAGACTATTGATAAATTCAAGATTGTAAATGACACAACAACAAATAAAGGTTTGTTTTTATATGATAAGTTGTCTATTCATTAATCTATTTGATCTTATTTGGTTAAAAAAATATAAGAAAAATAAACAATAATTATGATGTATTCATTCATTCAGTCAACCAAACATAGTTAGTTACATAACCCTTGTTTGATTTACATCTGTTTTCTGTCTTCTTTTTTCTTTAATATTGGTACATTCAAATAGAGAGAAGATGATCCTTCTAAATATTGATAGGAATATTTTTTTTTCAATACATCTAAATATTTGTTTATTAAACATAGATTAAGAATAATATTGATACAATAATTATTATCTTAAAGATGTTTTATTTAAGATAATCTAAATTATAGTAGCAACTTTTTCTTTTATTCGATCAATACTCATATAATCATTTTTCTCATATAGTATATATACACATAGGAGATGTAATAAAATATATATATATTTATATGAATATAGTTTACCTGTTGTTTAATAAATAAAAGAAAACAAAAGGAACTTGATTTATTTGGCACTAATAGAATTGATACAGATGCAGTTATCTCTGCGTATATAACAACTGTTTATATATAATATCCTGTCGATTATATAGAGATATCAGAAAATATGACCTCAGGCTATGAAGATTCTATAGTTATGAGTTCTAATAAGTTGTTGATACATCCAGGGTTAAACTTCTTTTGATGTTTCACAAATCATATCTCTTTTTTTTTTCTCTCTACGATCTCCGTCCTCTACTCTTTCTTGCATATTGTTCTATAAACTATCATTTCTTCTGCTCGATTACTTGTAATAAACGTCCGGAAAAAAAAAGAAATGCTTGATATTCATTCGGGTGTGTAAGTATGTTAAATAATCAAACAAATGGGAATTCTCTTATAATTGGACAATCTGTATAAAGCACATAGAACGAACAAAGCAAAAGGGATGGACTTTTTGCTAACGTTACTGAAGCATGTTGATGCCTCTTTTTGTATATAACATTGCATTCGACAAGACGACGACAGATACCAAAAAGTAGTGTTAGTTGTGTAAGTAGTAGATGTAGTCACTGAGCAAATAGCAAACATAAACGACAATATGGATAGTATACAAGAACAAAACACATTGTGAATTAAAATAAACAGCTGATAAAAAGAAATCAACAATGCTGTTTGACGTGAATAACAGACACCGCCATGGATCATTATTGTCAACTCATAGCAATAAAAACCGTTCGTCGAGTATTATTAGTGTATATGATAATCTTGCTGTAAGAGCAACAACAAATGGAGACATTTCGTGAGTATCCTATTAAATATGATAAATATAAAATCACATCATTTGTTATAAATCATTAAATAAATTAGATGAAAAATTATTTTGTTTTTTTTTGATCGAAACAAAATAGGCATTAATAACATATTAATGGAAAAAAAAGAGAAACATAACAGACTTGACTGGTCTATAATAAATTGTCCAGAGGATTATCACAATTGATAAATGTTACATCATTTATACACTAATCATAATTCTTATACACAAAGAAAGCTTATTATTATATATATCGTTCCCTCTCTCTCTCTCTCGATATATATATAGATCAGCATCTGATTGATGCCAATAATCATATCATAAAATATTCGTCATTTACTTTTTTTTTTCTTTGTTCTTCCTATATACATTGCCAGTTAGTTAATCACCGTCTTGTTTTCCTGTCGATATTTAAGAATATTCTTTAGTGAATAATTTATAGGACATATTTATTCTTCTTTTCTCTTTTGACCACCTATCGTTAAAAAACACATGTTTAAACATATTACAGAATCTTCTTGTTCTAATTTGTCTATTTTCCTGACAATATACATATATATATGTGTATACACTTCCTGTATAGTAGAGAAAGATCGAGTGATTTGTTCGTATCTAGTATCTTTACTTCTTTTGTTCTCCTTTTTTTTTCTGTCTATTATTGATCGTCAGTATAGTCGATCAGAGATAGCAAGTAAATAGGTCCTGTTGTTCTTATAGTAATGCCGATAGGAAGAATCAATCACTCTGTTTCTCTTCTTCTCATTTTCGGTTCCGAGCCGAATGCTATTGTTGATGTTGGAGTATCTTCATTATTGCTATTACGTTTGATCGTCTTCATCGACTGAGTTGTTATTGACATCTTTGGTTATATTGTGGTATTACAATAATTCTCATTTTAAATACAAATTCATCTTTGGCTTATACACACACCCACACATATATATTTGAAATTAATATTATTAAAAAATGTTCTTTTTTCGTTTTGGTAGAAAACAACGCCGAGATGAATTACTTGAAGCACAACAAAGACGTAGTGCTGCTCAATATCCAACAACAGGTAATATACATTTGGAACGAATGGAACGTTGTAAAAATTGCTGTAAATCATTTACAACATTTATATTTTCACGTGTTGGCCTTTGTTTACTTGTTGTGGCATATGCATTTGGTGGTGGTGTTGTATTTCAATTTCTTGAAGGATCTGAAGAAGATAGTACCAATAAAGTTCAACAACATGTAAACGCAACAGTTGAAAAGTTATTTGAACATACAATGAATTTAACAGTTTTTCATCAAGATAATTGGACAGCTGTAGCAAGAGGAATACTTGAAGAATTTCAAAAAGATATTGTTCGTCAAACAAAACGTGGTTATCAAGGTGAACGTCTTACTGATGATGCTAAACAATGGAATTTTCCAGAAGCTATTCTTTATGCAATCACAGTTATAACAACAATTGGTAAAAATTTCTTATTGCTTTTTTTCTTTTAATTGATTCATAATAATAATTTATATCGTTTATTTTAGGTTATGGACATATTACTTGGTATGTATGCGTAAGAATTAGAAATAGGTTAATAGATTTTTAAGGTATAATTGTCCTTGGATTAAATAAATTTCCAGATTCTCATCATTACTTCATAGATAATAACAATAACAACTGTCGTCCATCTATTGATAACAAGATTATGTTTGCAATTGACATTAAGCACAGTTATATAAACATAAAAAAAAAGGTTTTCTTTTTGATCCACAGCTGTTAGAAATGAACTTATCGAGCACGTTATAACTTTTTAATTTAAAGAAATTATATTGTATTGATAGATTTTTAAGTAATCAAAACTTTACAAATTCAATTTCTAGACGAATTTTAAATTTTAACTGAATGTCGTCATTCTTTTCTTGTCTTAAAAATGCATCTTATTTTTGTTTTGATTTGTAAGACACTCAAATTGCATGATGATAGCAAGATTTGCATTTTGACACGACGATATATGATCAATATTTGATGAGTTTTTTTTTTCTTGAAAATAATATAATTTTACAGATGTGAAATACTTTAATGTTCATGTAGATAAGAAGAAAGAATCTATGATATTTGTAGAAACACATTCGAAAAATGTCTAACAGTTGTTTCAAAATACAAAAACAAAAAGATTTTCCCATTGAATTTCGATTTTATGTTTCTATTAATATCTATTCTATGTATTGATACAATAAATTTTCAGTATGATTTTCTTTTAGTAAAACGAATTATGGAAAAATAATGACAATGATCTATGCAATATTTGGTATTCCATTAATGTTATTATGTTTAGCAAATATTGGTTCAACAATGGCAGATGCATTTCGTTTTATTTATTGTAATATATGTTGTTCATATTGTCATATGGTAAAAAAACGTCGTAATCTTCGAGCTTTACAATCCGTTGACTTATCACATGCAACATCATCATCACTTCCACAATCTTCAACAACAACAACATTAACATCAAATAATCTTCAACCACCTCTAAATACCTTTGAACAACAACCATCAACAAATGTTGTTGAATTTGTTGATAATCTTAGTATTGATTATCGTAAAGTTACAATACCAATTAGTGTCACACTCTCGTTACTTTCATCGTATTTGATACTCGGTGCATTACTTTTTAGCGAATGGGAAAATTGGAAATTTTTAGATGGTGCTTATTTTTGTTTTGTGACACTTGCAACAATCGGTTTAGGTAAAAATTCTAGTTAAATAAATATTTAAAAAAAAATAATAATAATAAATGAATGCTTTGTTTTTTTTTTGTCTAAAATTATTCTATTCATAGGTGACCTTGTACCAGGTAAATCAATAACATCAACACAAGTTGAAGGTAAACTTATTATTTGTGCACTTTATGTTCTACTTGGTTTATCATTAATGGCAATGTGTTTTAATTTAATGCAAGAAGAAGTACGAGCAAAATTTCGACGTTTAGGAAATAAACTTGGAATTATTGACGATCCAAATTATTGGTAGTCGATTTTATTTAGTTATTTATTTAAATTAGATATTTAATAAAACAAATAAATTTTATTTGTTGTTGTGTATTGCTTTATTTGTTGTTATTTTATAGATTAATATTCTTCATTTCATCTTCTTTTCTAATTATTATTGTTGTTGTTGTTGTTATTGGAATTTTTTTTTTCTTTTTCTTTCTCATTGATAAATGTTTGAAGAACAAAATGAACAATATTTCATCCATTCTGATGTATTCATATCAACAGAAGATAAAACAAATTATGGAAAATTTTTTAAAAATTCTATTCAATTTTTTATATTATTAAATGAGAATCATGGAGATATTAATGTTGATGATGATGGTGATCCAGATTTATGTCGTCCAGAACGTATTGATTTGACTTTAGGTATATCTTTAGTTAACGTGAGAATGTCAAAAAATTAATTTTTTGTCACGAACAAAAAATGACGACTACAGATAAATATCAATATGTGGTATCATACAATAGATATGATTACATGAATACTGCATTTCGTTATCTTAGACAATGTTGGCAAGCGACCAGAATAAGAGAAACCTCATAATAATAACTTGAGATGTATCTATTTCTTTTCAATTCTTTTATCTTCGGTCAATATTACATCGAACTATATCTGAAGAGAAGTAGTTCATAGGCAAAAAAAATGTTTATTCTTTATTTTGAAATATTCATCTAATCTTTTCTCACACCCTCAATTTATTAAAAGTTAAAAGCTATTTTTTGTCACATTTTTCTTATGTCATTATGTTTTTTTTTTTCTTTTTTATAAAATCGATCTTTACATTATTAAATATGTATAATTTTCTTCAATAGTTCATCGTAATGAAACAAATGTATCTGAATGTGGATATCAATTATGGAATGGTGCTTTACTTCTTTGCGATTATATTTTAACAAATCAAATACGATTTTTAAATAAAACAATTCTAGAATTAGGTGCTGGTATTGGCCTTTGTAGTCTTATTGCTAGTCGATTTGTATCGAAAATTATTTGTACTGGTATATGATAATTTTTCTTGTTGATTTATTAATATAAAAGAAAAGATTTTATTTTTTTTCATAGATTATGATAATGATTTATTAGAGGTAATTAAACAAAATATTGAAATAAATAATGTTGTATGTAAAAAAGAATGTATTGAAATACAAAAATTTGATTGGAAACAATTTAATTCAAATGAAATAAATAATCATATTGAAATTATTTTTGCAGCTGATGGTAGAGGAAAAAAAATTTTTTTTTTTCGCTAATATTATTATTTTCTATTTTATAATTTATAGTTATTTATGATGATGATTTAACTGATGCATTATTTAATGTATTTACAAAATTATTTCAAGATAAATTAAATCTTCATTCAATTTATATAACAATTGAAAAACGAATTAATTTCTATCTTGATACGTTATCTATTCAATGTCCAGCATATGAATATTTTCTTGAAAAATTAAACCAATTTAAAATTAATTTTCCATTATTAATAATCGAAGAAATTAATACAAATCTAAAATCTATAAAACAATGTACAAAAATTTATAAACGAACGAAAGAATTAGTAAAAAAAAAAAAACAAAGTTTTCTATGCATTTTTTTTTTTATTTGAATTTTTTTTAATTTTAGGTTCTTTGGCATATTTATCATCCAGATAGATATTCATCATAGATTGTATGTATTTTATCAAGAATATTTGAATCAGTCAGATTAATTGTTATATTATTTGTATTTAAAATTTGTCATAATGAATTTTTTAACCGACTTGGTTTTGTTAATTTAAGACGTTGTAATAAAGGATCATCATCATCAGATTCTTCTTCAATTAAATACTTTTCTAATGAAGCTATTGGTAATATGGATGAATGATCACCATGATCATATATAGAAATATATGGTTTGATTTCTACTTGTCTATTTGATTGAATAGAAATATTCATTTGATTTTCTAATAATAATAAATGATTAATATGATTAATTAAATTTTCTAGTTCATCTCGTTTTTGTATTGTAATTGAATTTAACATTTTTGAACGACGTTTATAATGATTATATTCATTTCTAAGACGATAATATCGTTGTAGAGTTGTCATTAGAATAATAAGACTAGTTGAGAATGAGATAAAGTAATATTTATGTTCATAGAGAAATTGATTTATCATGTGAAATAAATATGATAACATCCATTTGTATTTTATTTTATTAGAAAAAAATTGCGCTATTTTTGTGTTATTATTATTTTGGCGCATTTTTAGATGAAATTATCTAATTATTGGATATGGTCTTTACTATTATTATCGATAAAGATTGTTTCAACAAGAGATTGGCTTGTCGATAAAATAATTGATATAACAACAATAAAAATAACACCATTAGGTACATTATTACTTTCAAATACGTTAATTAGTCGAGAATTTTTACTTGATCCGGATTTTGCTACAATTGATTTTCGTGATTTACATACAACTAATTCAAGTTTATTACGATGTGTTAAACCTGAAGCAATTATTACACTTGATGGTATTGAATATAATATTGGTGGAGTTATACCTAATACACAATGTGCATATTTTAATCGTACTGAATTTTGGAGAACTAAAACATTAGATACAAGAGCATTTCATTTTTCAACATATGAAATTGGACTACCCAAAGCTCCTTTTGCATATACACCAAAACGATTTGCTCCAAGTGATATACAATGGCCACCAAAAGGTATTCATTTAAGTGTTTATTTCAAGGCACCCTACTATGCGCCATTATCACATAAATATGTCACTGTTGTTGTTAATTATGAAATGTATGATGGCATACCATTAATAGCAAAATGGCTCGATGTAATCGATACAAGTGGTCGTGGTGATATTGATCTTTCTTTTAATTCAGTTGAAATTCTTGCTGTTAATCAACCATGGTAGGACTAAAATATATTAATTTAACAAAACCTAACAGTTTTGTTCGATTTCTTTTATGAAACACGATCTAAAAGCAATGTTAAAGCATGAGAATAAAAATTTAGATCTCTTCTTCACGTTATACATCAGATGTTAATAATATCTTGTTATAATATATGAACTACTTTCTTATTACATTTCAATAATCTCACATTGATTAGTAAAACAAGTTATATCGTGCTTCATATATCTTTTTATCTTGCAGAAATTATACTAACTACTTTCTCTTTGATAGGTCACCTTTTGGTCATTCATGGTTATATGTTGAAGATGATCAACCTCCTGGTCATGGTACTAATGTATTATGGACATATGATATAGAAATAAATACAATTCCAGGTTCATTTCCACCATTAGTTAATTGTACTTATCAAATTGATCATCCAATAGTTGTTCCACTTGTAACACAATTAACATCATTTCGTATTCATGAACTTGTTATTAGTTCATCAGATGAAGAACGTCAGGCTTTATCAAAACATCGTCTTATACGTTTATTAGCACCACATACACAAGAAAATCCAATATTTTTTCATATGATTAATGGAAGTTCACCAGCATTTCGTGCAGTAATTGATCAAATGGCTGAAGTTGGTTTTGAAATGCTTATTTATTCATTTGGTTCTGGTTTTGATATGGAATCTGATGATGAAAAATATATTGAACAAATAACAAGTGATATTGCTTATGCAAATAGTAAAGGTATTGAAGTTGGTGGTTATGATTTAATTGCATTAACACGTCAAGTTCGATCCGATTGGATGGCAATTGATCCAAATACTGGTAAACCACGTGATAGTGCATGTTTTGCATCTGATTGGTATGATTATTTATTAAATCGTACATTAACATTTATGGATCGTACTGGTTTAATTATGGTTGAAACTGATGGTCCATATGGTGGTTATTCATGTGCAGCAACAAATCATACTCATCATCGTAATAATGATGATAGTGTATATCGACAAAATATTCTACAAGGAAAATATTATAAAATACTTCGAGAACGTTCTGTTTATATAAATCAACCAGATTATTATTTTTATGAAGGTGGTTCAAAAACAGGTATGGGTTATAATGAAGAACAATATTCATTACCACGTTGGATGGATATTAGTGTTTCAAGGTGAATAGATAAAAATTTTTTGAAGAAAATATTATTTTACTTTTCTTTTTTTTTTCTATAGACAAGGAATGTTTGATGACACATATCAACGAATTCCAACAATGGGTTGGATGTTTGTACCATTAACTGTTTATCATGGTGGTGGTACTGCTGCACAATTTGAACCACTTGTTGAACATCAAATTGAATATGAATGGGCATTAGCTCAATATTTAGGTGTGATTTTTTGTTTATTAATTTTGTGACACACGATTTAATAGAAGTATTGAAGTAAAAATTTAAAATTCTCTCTCTCCACAGACATCACGAAAATTAATTTCTTTCTCCATTTCTTCGTTTACAATACCAGTAGTTCCATTGTATTTCACGTACAGAGATTATCCTAACAGTCTTTCTTTTTTATTTATTTATTTTAAATTATAATAATAGGTGCGGGTGTTGCTGCTTGCTATCGAGGTTTTCGTCTATATGATACAGATGAAACAAAAGCATTAGTTACAAAATGGGTTAATTTTTATAAAAAATATCGTTCAATTTTAATTCGTGATATTATTCATGTAAGATATTAAATTTTTCTTTCGTATTTAAACTCTTTTAATATCAATAATAAAATAGATTCGTCGAGCTGATATGCAATCTATTGATAGTTATATGCATGTTGATCCATATTCAAATGATATTAAAGGTATATTATATCATGTTGATTAATAATATTGAGAATATTTTAATTAGGTCTTGTAATGGTATTCAATCCAACATCGGATTCAATTGAAACAATTTTACCAGTTCCTCTATATTATACAGGTTTAAGTGATATAGCACAAGTATCAGAACAAGAAAATACTTGGATAAATTATACATTAGCTCGAGATTATCATATTGATTTACCTATTACACTTCCAGCATTGGGAATAACATGGTTTCTAATTAAATGAACAGAAAAAAAAAACAATAATGTATTCATATGTAATTGTAATTTAATGTATTTTCTATTTGTAGTGAATAATTTCTCTGTGATATTTATTTGCAATAGAAATCAATAAGATTTTGTTTTTTCGTATTTAAAATATTCATTCTTCACTTTCTTTGTTTTGTTAGAATAAAATTCTTAAGAAATTTATTTCATGTATATTTAATCTAATGTTTTTTTTACAATTATAAAAAACAATCAATAGATTATTTTCTTATAAAACATCTATAATTCATAATATTACGTTTTTCTGACTCTCAAAATATTAAATCTTAAATATAATACAATTGAAATAATACATTATTTTAAAGATATCTTTAATGACCCGTTTTGTGTATAGAAATTCAGATAATATCAAATCAGTTATCGGCTGTTTTAATATGTTTATCTATGTTTTATTTTACATATATCTTAGCATGAATAAGATATGATACTAAAGAAATTCTACACCCACAACCAAGAAATTTTTATTAGAATATGATTGAGAATAATTTCAAGTTTATATTTAAAAAATAGGAATATTGTTTGTATTGTTATGTTATATTTATCATGTCGTATGCACATTAATACATAAACATTCAATGATACAGAAGAGAGAAAAAAAAAATACACGTCAAAAAATACAAAGAAGAACAAATTGAACGATCATTATGTCTGATTTCAACATCAACAGGAGAAAAAATAAATTAATAGAAGCAAACCATTTGGTATTAACTCTTGTTTAGTTTAAGTAAAAAGATCATCAATAAATTAATCCACAATTCAGGTATTAATACAATGGTAAATCTTTTATTAATAACTACTTATTTATACATATATATATACGATGATACAGTAAATAATAAATAATTTAAGCTAAATAAATCTTATTAATAAGTTTTATTGATGATCGACATATAGGACCTAAGAAAAACAAAAAAAAAATATTTCAATGAAAAAATTTTTCTATAAAATTTATTTGATATTTACATTGTTTTGTTCCATGTTCAATTAATTCTTTAGCACATGAATAACATAAACAAATATGTCCACAAGGAATAAGTACTGTATCTCGAAAATGATCCAAACATATAGTACAATCTTGACTTAATTTAACATCATATTCATTTTTTATATTATTATTATCTGTTGATGTTAATTCTTGATTTGTTTTCATTGTATTATTTATTTGTTGTAATGAATAATATCTATCAAGATTTTTTATATAACCTAAAGAACGTACGGCTACAATATCACCTTTAAATACAAGAAATGGATAATAAATAAGATTTGAATCAACATGAATAAAATCTTTTAATTTCGAATTATTATGTGAATATTCAATAATACCATCATGATTAAATGTAAATAAAAATTCATCACCACGATCAATTGTTGTTTTATTACCTAATTTAAAATCTTGTAAAATCCAAAATTCTGAACGATCATTTATTTTTTCAATATCAAGTGGTAAATCATTTGTACGTAATAAATTTTGTGTATTACAATTTGTTAAACCGAATTGTATATACGACGGTAATAAATTTGAAATTGCTGATGTTGTTGTTGTTGGTATACGAGATTCATTTAATGATGTTATACTTAATATTTGAATTAATAAACCTGAATTAATTGTTAATGGTTCAGAAAAAAATACAAGACCATCACAAGTTTTTGTATTGTCATATAAAACTATCGATTGATTAGGTAAAGTATTTGATGGTGATAAAAAAAATGATATTGATGAACTATGTACAGGTAAAAATGTCAATGGACTAAGATCATTAGAAATGTCTTTAAAAAATGTTGTTGTTACTGTTGTATTTATATGACGAAGTTGATCATTAAGTGATACAGTACGTTTTAAATGATCATCAACAAGTTCAATACTTATACAATTACCATAAATATCTAATAAAGCCCAAAGTGGTTCTTGAACAAAAATTCCTAAAAATTTATTTGTGATATTTTAGAAGAAAAACAAAAAAAAAAGAATTTCTTTTTCTTTTTCTTTTTGTATAATAAATACAAACCGGTAAGAAGTGAAATTTCTCCAGTAGGTGTATTAAGAAATAGTTCACCATTTTCATCAACATAAAAATAAGTTAATTTATTTGATACATCGAAACAATTTTCTGGTACACATTTAGCCCAATAACCTAGAAGAAGAAGAAGTTTAATTATTTAATTCTTCTTCATTATGAGAATAACTAACCAGGTCGACAAGTCAAATCTGGACATGCATGACGAGGTAATGCTGTTGATGTTCGATGAGCATTAGGATCACATGTAGTTACACCAAGACGAAGAAAACCTGTCCATTGTATACTTTTACTAAGAAGACGAACATAAACTTTTTCACGTATTTGAATTGCTCGATTACTGAAACAGATTCCTTTACAGAAACTATCAATACGTTTTGCTACAGTATTATTTCGTGATAATTTAATATGTTCACCATGAACAGGATGAAATTGTAGCGGTATATTCATTATAATCGAATAGAGAAATGAATTTATTTATGAAAGTTAATATAAAAAGAATAAACTAAGAAAAATAAATAACAAAATTGTAAGAAGAAAAAGTAATGATTATGTTTATTTTAATATAACGCGGAAGACCAACCATTACTATTGATCAAAGATTTACAAAAGATGTCGCATGTACACATACATAAGTTATTGGAATTAGTCAACCAAATTTTAATCACTATCTTAAAAGACAAATAATACCTTAAAAAGTTAACAGCTCTCTAAAGATAAGATCACTCAAAAAGTTCAAACTTAGTTTTTAGCAATTAGAATGTGCAAATATAATTTTGGTATTCAGACAGCATACAGTGATAGAAGAATTAGTTCTCCTACAATTCTTTTTTTTGTTGATATACAACAATCTTGTGACGAATCTACGTATGTACATGTTAGCACTCTAGACGGTCTTGTTTTTGTCTGAATTCCTTCTGAAATTTGTGTTAGTATTCTACTTCGTTGAGTTACGTATATAATTGAAGTTATAAACGATCAGTACTTGCTTTGATGAGCGTCATGGAACGGAAATTCGAGATATCGATGAAAGTTCTGAGTTTTTCACTGTATTTTATCAGTATTCTTTAGTCACAATTGCTGTCAAGCATGTCATGACTTCCTAATTTGTTGTTTTAAATACAGAGTTCGACATTTTCACTGACTTTGCAGAAAGTATTTTTCGAAAAATATTTTATTATTATTAAGCATTAGTCGAGTAACATTTCACAAGGATATTGTGTTTCAGGAAGGAACAAATGACCATAATAATGATGTCGACGGTTTTCAATACTCTTGATATATTAATAGGAGTTGATTATAAGTTTTGAATTTGAATATTTTCACAATAGGTTAATTCAAATCTCCTATTGTTTAATGTCAGTGTAAAAGCAGAGAGCACCTGTTCCGCTCTAGTATATGCACAGTCAAATATTCTCATTATTACTAAATATGTCCCATACAACACATTCATTAATGTGTTTTTGTGAAACTCATTCTGTCAAGGATTGAAATAAAGATTGCTTTGTATTTTTTCTAATTATGAGAACGATTTCTATGAATGATGGCCTACTGAGAGGTCAGTGATAATTATTGTTGGACTCATTGTGGAGAATAGAATATACATAAGACATGGCAAACTTACGGACCGAATGCGATCACAACAGACAAAAGTTAGGGTGTGGGTGTGGTTGTTACTCTTCTTATCATCCACACCCACACTCACACTCGCTAGAAAACTTTTCATTTTCAACAAAAACCCATAAAATACTGTTGAATTCGAAACACTTAAATACTTTTCAAGTTGCTGAATACATTATCGAACATTTTTTCATACGTCAAACACTGTTACTCAAATTATGCTTGAGCGGTCATGTGTGACTTTTTTCGCCCTGATTCGGCACATTTAGACCTCTGTATTGGGTACATACAGTATTGGCTTGAGTAGATTTGTCGAACATTTTTTTCTATTAGTAACAGTAGTTCAATTGACTTTTTATACTTCTATATTTAAGTAAAAGTCAACATTTATAATTTGCATTCAATCACTTGTCGAATATTACAAAGTAGACTATTGAAATAATCAGTGTAAAAGTGGTGTATGCTTTCGCTCTTATTCTCATCTTCAAACTCTTCATTGGAGTTGGGTGTGAGTGTGAGTTTGATTCAAGATAAGATCCATACTCACACCTACATGATTATTTCCTTATTAGATTCATAATCAATAAAGATCTTTAAAAAAATAAGTAAGATTTCATTTTTCTTCTCTGAAGTTAGGATATTGCAACAGAAAAGTATCCTAGAGTTAGTACAGATTTTATTATTTAAATCGGAGAACACATCTCCAAAATTTTTTTTTTCATATCCAAGATTAGACTATTCAAGCAAAAAAGTATTCTAAACTAACTTAGAGAAACTTTATTATTCAAAATGATATAGCGCAGCTCCAAAGTTTATTGTTCATATCGAACTTTAAAATATTCAAGCAAAAAAAAGTCATTCTTAAGTTAATAAGTAGATGACGATGTGACTGTGGGCATAGGTATGTAGCTGTTGGTATATGTTTGAATGCGAATGAAATCAATAGATTCTTTTTAAGTCACACCCACATCTTTTTAAATTTTGAATATCAATTGCTGCCAGCTTACTGTATGAATATGTCACATAAAGTCATAATTTGATGAAGTCATTCAATCAAATAGCTCATCTCAATTGAAAATTTTATTCAGATTTCTATCTAATAAATAGCAGATTCAATTTTGTTGAGTAGTCAAAATGAAATAAATGCTATCAAGTTAAGTGTGACCAGATTAGGCCGAATTAGAGATGTTTAAGGGAGTCTTTTTTTTGCTGACATGGCTCTTCTTCTGTCCAACTTTTGTCTATTGTGATCGCACTCGATTGTAATTTTGGCATTGTTTATTTTTACGATATTTTGCAGGATAAATCAAGCAAGAATTTTCACAACCATAATCTAAGAAAGAAAAAAATGATTATCAGATTCCCAACAATGAGATTCCTAGAAAACCTCAAAACTCATTTTTTTTCCTACGAAGAACGTACATATCTTACTTATATCACTTTGTTTCGATTACATAGAACAGTAGAAGAAACGTATCTTTAAAAAATAAGATCTGTTTCAATTTCCTGCAATGTTTTTCGTCAAGACATAATTATTTTACGGTGCGTGCTAAAATAATTTTTGTTTCTATTTCTTATAGAAAAAAAAAACAATCTGGAACTCGCAGTAGATTATATTATCTCGGAGATGTTACATTTTGCAGAGAATTGTACACTCTACTGACCTAAAGTTTGAACACAATGATATATATATATATATGCTATTGGTAATAAAAAGCTAGATTTGTAATTTTCTAGAAATTTTGTCTTTGAGAATGTGACACACATTTTTATTTTCTGATATTCTTGTTGTAGATACTTTTCTCTCTTTGAATCACTTTTTAAAATATTTTCAACGTGTAATTCAGGAGAAAAAAAAATTGAGAATAAAAGTGTGTGAATAATTTCATTAGCCACTGTACAATGTCAAATGCTATTCGTATCGAATATTATCATCAAAATCTGATTAGAAAAAAAAAACATATAGAACAAATTTGAAACTGGAACTTTCTAATAAG